CACCACCACCACCAACAACAACACCAACAACAGCAACAACAACAACAACAACACCAACAACACCACCACCACCACCACCAACAACAACAACAACAACAACATGGAGATGAAAAATTATACGTGACATACATTGTTTACAATGGTATTGGAGCGCTTACATTAGTTATTTTTATTGTTACTTTGTTAATTTTTTTGTCGGGGGGGTGGTGGTTTCAACCCCCCGTATATGGGAATGCTTGTGCTGTTGAACCTTTGCCTATACCGGGTCATTGTTGCTGGTAAATGGCTCCTACGGGCTTTGTTAAATGACTGACCGGTTCCTTCCCATATCCCGAGGAAATTAGCTTTCCGCTGAAAGACGAATGCTTAGAAGGAAAGGGGCTGGAAAAGGACACATAGGCTTAGGCCTAGACGGTCATTTCTTGGAAGTAAGTTTTATGGAATATAATTTGGAATTTAATTTCTGGCTTTTCCGCAAGTTGCGAAAAAAATCAATGTTTTGGGGGAGATTTTTTTTCTTGTGAATAAGGAACAGTTCCACAGCAATAACATTACCAGTGTCGGGGACAACCTTTCTTTCCCGGTTTTGCGGCTTGCAGGTAGTAGGGAGTAAAATATAAGGCCAAAAGAGTAAGCATGTTCATTTGTTTCTGCAACGCCCTCAAAAGTTTCAGAAAACATTCACAGATACCAGGACTGTCCCGAACAATGCCCCAGGAACCCTGTCGTCGTAGATCATGACATCTTCAGCTTTATTTAACCAAATTCGTGCATCGAGGACTTGCCATTGGTTTCTCGGTAAGTTTACTTCTTGTGCTAGAATTTGAACTTTCGGCAATGCCTCTCATTGGTTTCGTAAGTTTAAAGTTTTCACCCGAGGCCAGGTCAGCAAGCGAGGACCTTTCACCCACAAATAGCTCCTCGATTCTGCATCCTCGATGGACGCGTATAAATAAACAAAAGGGCTGTCTTCAAGGAAGAAAAAGAGACAACATGGTAGACTTGAGGAATGCAATGTCAGAGCAACTTACAGTCTGCCGGCCAACAAGAACCGACACGACGATTCCAGACGATATAGCCATGATCAACAGGGCCACCTCCGCTATTCCGAGAACGTAGTACAAGAGAGCCATATCTCGTCAAGGCCCGTCCCTTCTTAGGTTGGACAACCTGTGATGCGAAATCCGGTGCCTTCGCTCGTAGCCGCTCCCAACTTACAGAGGTGTCCAAAATGTGGGCATAAGACGATATATTTAGCCTGAGATCGTATGATGATCGTTGAGTAATCGACCCCAAAGATGCACAGGCAAGGAAACGCTATATTTATGGCGCTGAAAGCCTCAATAGGATCGACACCGATTGGAATTAGAGCCCTCTTGACGTCTGGTATCGATTCCATAAAGCTGTCATGTTTTTATTCTACGAATGGTATTGCGTCCTATGCTTTTACAGCTGGGTTACGGTTAGCCGTTTTTCAATTTGGTCGCCTGGCCATGCCCATGTACGTCTGGCGAACAAAAACGCCAAAATTAAGTCCGAGGCGACAATCGATCCTCTACAGTTGACTCTCCGATATCGATACATTCGGCAGCGGGTTGCATGAGCGTAAGAAGGTTACAAGTGCAAGCGATTGTGCCCCCTTCTAACTGAGTTGTGAGTCATATCCCGGCGCAGCTCCCTGTGCAATGCCTAGCCTTGGACCTAGGGACAGCATTCGCCAATTTCCGGCGACTTCTTCACATGACCTCGAGGTCGATCCTTTAGGGTTTGGCTCATAGGTGCTGCGTAAGACGAGACAAGCATCTTTCTCTGTGGTTTCTATCAAGGTAAACTTCAGCGAAATATGTTCAACAGCAGCTGAGGGGAAAAGCGGGGTCGGTGGACAAGAGCGTAAAATGTGACCAACATACCATTTTTTTGACTGAACATGCCGCCCTATAACCTTCCTGCTGACATTTTCCATCATCAACCCAACGCATCCCGTACGTAAGAGCTGATCGGTTGAAGAGCAGCGGGACAATACCTCTCATAAAAAGAACAAAAAAAATTCTTGAAATGTGTTAATGACAGTCAAGCAATTTGGGGGTACAATTTCATTTTCTTTCCTTCTGAATGCGTGTAAAATGTTTCCAAATTTATCCCCAGCTCCCTGGAAGGCCATAAAAGGTTACACACCCCAGTACTATACCCCCCATATAATTGGTTCTCCAACCGTCCCTCATCCCTCGCTTGTGCAACCTCTCAAAAATAGTTTTCTTTCCTTGAATGAGAGGAATTTTCGAAACCTCAACTTCTTCAATGAACACACACAAGAGGCAAAGGAGCGCACATTGTTACGGCATTACCGGGACTACATCGGAAAACTGCTGCTCTGGCCTGAGGCCTGGCCTATTACCGTGACATCCAAATAACTCTGGGTAAGGCAGGGCCAGGATCTGTGGCCAGTGGGTTGGTCTTAGTTTGTAGGATGCGAAACGAGGGAAGAGGCAACTTTGAAAGTTGTTTGCCATCGCTGAGTACGTTTTCGCCTCACACTTCTTCAACTTTTACGGTTGAAAAGTACACGGTAAAAAAGGTGAAGCCAACTAACCCACGAGTAAATTTTTGTCTGGAAAACATTACCCTGTCAACGACTAGACTGTGAATGTCTTTTGCGCATCACGTCCTACCAAAATTACGCGCTTATTTTTCTTCCATTCTTGAGACATCCTTGCTTATAACGGGTCCCTTATGCAACGTAATGTTTGACCAAGTTAACCTTTGCAACGAACTTGATTGTTTGAAGATGATTTTAGGGTATTTTGGGGGGGTGTGGAGAACAAAAAGTTGAGGTGGCTACCAAGTGTGAAAATGAGAAGAAAATCGTCCTATCTGTCATAATCTTGAAATTCCAGTGAAACACGCAAGATCACGCTATTCCTTAGGGTAACCAGGCTGCTCTCCAAGTTTTGGGTGCAGTGCACTAACTCAAGATATCCAATTTGAAAAAGGACATTGTTTAGCCAGAAAAAAAAATGGAGGAATTGTGGAAATACAGACTAGGATCAACTCTCTAGGTTTCGGGGCTTCGATCCAAGGGCCGAGTCGATAACAGTACGGATGAAACACTGTCCCCAGTGGCCAGTACCCGAGAAAGAAGAAAAATGTGGCTAAGAGCAGGCTTGGAAACTATCACTTTTGGGGTGAGTTTGTATTGTGTTAAACAAGTAAAAATGTAGCTTTAAGAAACTCGCAAAAAGACCAGTGTGGTACGTGCAAATGTCGCATTCCCGGTAGCCCTGGTCAAAGCATTTGTCATCAGCCGCGCCGCGTTGCCTACCTCATGTACTCCACGCTGTGTGTACATAATACATGTGCATCTGCAGTGGAAAATCAGGCCGAACAGCGACCTCACGTCACGCAGCCAGCTTGATATGCAAATTAGCTGCGCCAGAAAGAACGCCTTGGTTTAACAGGTTTCCAAAAAAAAGGTTTGGGGCGGTGGCTCATTATGACAATACCCCAGCTTACATTCAAAAGACTCTATTTCATTGGGCGACGGTTAACCTCTACGTGGATTCTGCGTGCAACCACATGGCCATTACTTGGCCACGTGTGTGTAGACCCAACGCATTTCCTACCCTGCGTGCGGTGTAGAAATCATTCACGGTAGTTTAGGACTGTTCATGCACTACTTTTTAAAGTTTTCCCAGTTATTGACGTCTGGAACTGTCTTAATTTCGTAGTTTCGGCAAAATATGTGGTCAAGAACAGGGCTTAAACCTATACTCGACTTGGTTTTGAGTTTACCCGTGGCTTTAAACAGCGTGGAGTACAAACTATAAATTGACATCCAACTCTCACGAAAGACGTCACTAACCTGACACGTACACTACATTGCTGCTGGCTGTTCTGGACTGGACAGAAATCTTTAAGAAACTAATATTTTAACTGTTGGAATTCAAATAAAAATGGAGTATGGTAGGATGAACGACGCGGTCCAACCTTAGCCAAGCTTGGCCAGCATCATGTTTTGCTGAGGTAGTTGCATATTATGATGACACTGCATGTGTGATTGGACGATCCCCACATACGCCCGCCCACACTTATTTAGTATTCACATACGAGCCTGGCGTTAGAAATCTTGTGCAAAATAAAGAAAAACATACGCTTTCGGTCACGGTTGAGCCAAGGCCTCCGTCTGGATTCAGCTGATGTTGCCCGCGTGAGGTCGCTGTTCGCCTTAATTTTTCCACCGTACGTGTATTATGTAAACGATTGATTTGGATAGCGGTTCTGCTAATGATTCTTTTAATTTAAGAGATATTCTGCAAACCACCCAAGAAAAGACGCTTACGGTGGGCGTTAAACGAATCTATCACACATACACACTTATTTCGCACATAATTACATATACTAGTTTCACGCATTCATTTATTTATTAGAACTCTACTGTTTACGAAGAAAACCAAAAGTACTGTTGATTTACACTACAAAAAGCAGCAATATCCATCGTACACTATGCATTACAAAGTGATAATAATAATTACAAAATATGAACAAGACCATCATTTGAAATCGA